TTGGTTTCTTTTTTTTAAAAAAAATATTTTATTTATTATTTTTATTTTATGTGTATGTGTGTATTGCCTGCATATGCCCACAGAGGACAAAAGAGGCTGTAGGATCCCCTGGAACTGGAGTCATGGACAGCTGTTAGATGCCATGTGGGTGCTGGGATTTGAACCCGGGACTTCTGCAAGAAGTCAGTGTTCTTAACCATTGAGCCATCTCTCCAGCCCCACTAGCTTGGAATTCTTGATTCTCCTGCCTCTGCCTCCTGAGTGCTGGGATTATAGATGTGAACCACTGTGTCTCCCTTAATAAAATCTCTTCTGAAAAAAAAAAAAAAAAAAAAAAAAGAAAACGAGATCACTAGGTAGGATGAAAACCATCTGAAAATGAGAAGAAAGAAGAAAAAAATGTTCATGTCTTCTTAAAGTGAATTTTATTTCCCCTTCTGGCCTGAATTACATTGTTGAAAGGATCATTGCAGTTCTTTAAAGCAGTATGGGTTCTACTCTCCTGCTGGGATGTTGGTATCTTTCCGAGTTTTCTTAATGAACATGTGAGAGCAGATTGGGTTATACTTTGTGGTTGCCTAGCCTCTTCTTTGAGAATATCAAAGGATTCTAGAAATGCTCTTTCCCTCACCCCTGTGAAAGTCTGATTTATAAAGTGTCCCTCCTCCCACCCACCTGAGTTCCTGATTCATTCCCTCACTCCTGTTATGATCTGATGTTTTACCTTAAATCTTAAAAATGTTAGCCAAGTTCCTTAGGGAAATGTAAATGGAATGTCTCATACCGGACTGGGAATTAGAGTTCTCCCATTAACTGAAATGTGTGATTCTGTATAGTCTGTTCTTCAAGCCTCCAGTTTTGTTTTGCTTTTTATCTGCAAAGGGATAGGTAGAGTAAGTTTGAGCTGGGTGTTTCCTAATAGCATGGTTGTACTTATCTCTTTGCTCTTTGCATATAAATTATCAGCTCTCAAATGTGGATTTTTTTGGGGGGGGTCTATTTGAAACAGTGTCTCCCTATAGTCTCAGCTGGCCTGGAACTCATTATATAGACCAGGCTGGCCTTGATCTCACAGAGATCCTCTTGCCCCTGCATCTCAAGTACTGAGATTAAAAGCATGTACCACCACACATGGCTCAAATGTGGATTTTTAAAAATAATTATTGTTAATGATAAGATGACTTTCCACCTCGTACAACCTTACTGTCCGCCCGGAACTTGCAGCTGGCCCACAGAGTTGCATTCAAACCTCTGAAAACACATCCTCTTCATGTTATGTGAGCAGGTGGTAAGGAAGTCAGGTCTTTTACATGGTACATCTACCTTAGGAGGCTCCTGTTGTCACAGGCTAGTATTTGGTGCTTGTTGGGGGATTTCAGCTTCATGTAGCCAGTGATCCTTCCCTCTCCCTTGCTCCTCACTCACTCACTGCTGGCTTTCTTATGCTTTTGCAGGTAAAGCTCCTTCTAGCATGACTGAGATCTGATCAGCCACGCCGAGCATCGACTTCCGTGTCTGGCACTGGGGTGCTGGGGCCTCTTCACCGGCCCAAACTACTGCACTGTCATGGCGGCTGCCTCTACTTCCACCCCAGTAATTTCACAGCCCCAGGTAAGCAATTTAACTTGCTCAATGTTTTTGCTAATCATAGCTTTGTCAAATATGTAAATAGAGTTTCACGAAGTGTGCTTTACTTTAGGGACTGTGCACATCCCTCATTATCACTCGGTGGGTACTTACTTAGATAATGGTGCTTTGGGGAGCAAGATGCCATGTAATTCAGGAAATAGCTTGGCCTCTGTTCACAGGAGAGCTGTACAGCACTCAGGATGCCTGACTGTTGCTGTCATTGTCAGACTCCTAGGTAAGACTGTTGCTTCCCTTTGGTGGCCTTCTGTTTTTGAGAGTGGTGGTGCAAATGAACTCTCTCCCACTGATCAAATCTTAGGACAAGCTTTCCAAGTCTGCCTCTTCATTGTCCTCCTGTAATTATTATTTTTGCCTCTACCTGCTCTAAGAAATTTGAAAGTAAAATGCAATTCTAGAAACTTCTGAACAATCGTCCTATGAGGTACTTTTACTATCCCTGAAGAACAGTAATACTGCAATGACATTGTCTTTGTTCAAATTATTGTACAACCTACTGTTTGTAGTACCCACAATCCTTTGGTCTCAGCAGGCAGCATGGTACACTGGGAAACAGTTTGGAGCCGTTAGACCCCAGTTCATGTCCCTGTGCCTTGCTTGGACTGGTGGTTGGATGCAGAGTGCCAGTCACGCTCCTGTGGCTCAGCTCCAGCCTCCTCTTGTGTGCTTGTTCTTCCCATGATGGTTTGATGGATGGAACCATAGCGTAGCTGCAAAGCACCCAGAGGCTAGGCAACTCAGCTCCCGTTTGCTGAGGCTTCATCTTGGCACTTTTTCCCAGTGTGGGTTTCTGCTTATGACCACCATTTTAGGCAAGGTTAAAGGAAAAATCTATAGCCTTGAGAAAGAGACATTTTAAATTTGTTTTACTGGTTTCATTGTGACATTTTCATACATGTACATACATTGTATACACATACATTGTATATACATTGTACTTTGCTCATTCCCCCTGGCCATCTCTTCTCCCACCCTGTCTCCCTCCCTCTCATTGGTCTCTTTGTCCCACCCAGGCAGCCCCCTTCTGTTCTCATGACATATTTTTCCATCTCGATTTTTCATATGAGAGGACCCTTCACTCTTTTGTCTTTCTTCTGCCATTACCCCCTCTTGTTCCCCTGCCCCTTTCTTTAGACTCCTGCCTCCGTAGTTCTCCCATTTTCATGTCAAACACATATTTTAATACATATTGCAATCAATATTCTACATTGAAAGAAAATGTAGCATTTGGCTTTCTGAGTTGAGCTTATTTTGCTTAACATAGAAGATACAGTTCCATTTTCCTGAAGGTGACAGAGTTGCATTCTTCTTGTGACTGAATAAAACTCGTCTATATTCCACAGCTTCTTTTAATATTTTATTTATTATTTTTATTTTATGTGTATGAGTGTAGTGCCTGCATATGTGTAAGTGCACCTGTGCCATGCAGTGCCTATGGAGGTCAGAAGAGGGAGTCAGATCCCCTGGAACTGGAGTTATGGATGGTTGTTAGCCACCATGTGGTTGCTGGGGCTCGAGCCCAGGTCCTCTGCAGGAGCAGTCAGTGTTCTTAACTGCCGAGCCATCTCTCCAGCCCCCAGTACCCCAGCTTCTTTATCTCTTCATGTGTTGATAGGCATCTAGGCTGGTTTCGTATCTTGATTGTGGATGGGGCAGCAATAAACATAGCCATGCAATATTTATGTGGTATGCTGGCTTAGATTCCTTAGGTACATCCCTATGAGTGGTTTATCTGGATTATATTGTAGTTCTGGTTTTCATTTTTTGAGGAACCCTCATATTGATTTCCATAGAATCTGCGTAAGTTTACATTTTTATTAAGGGTTCCTCAAGAAAGAGTCATATTGATTGGAATTTGAATCTGATGACACAGAATGTTGTTCCACACTTTTCTGTACCACTTTGCAGACGATTACATTTTGTGTGTATTAAAATAAGGATGTCTGATTTGTTGCTATTTTGTTCTCTAAGAAGGAGTGAAGAGGGAGAAAGAAGAAGAAAGGGACATTCTTTTTTTTTTTTCCTAGAGATTCAAAAATGTTTTCTGCATAAAGACTTGGAAATTTTATGATCTGAATAAAATCCTTGCTGTTTAGAGTTTTCAGCATTGTTTTCTGGGGTGCTGGATGCTTAGTGCTCTGTCATGTTTTCTTTCTTTCTGTTGGATGGACTGTGTCCATTTCAACACTTTATTTACTTTGGGTGTTTGACTTCTTTTAACCTCAGTGTTTTGTTTTTTTGGCACCAGAGGGACTTGGAGAAGGGATAAAGACATTTAGTACTTATTACCTGAAGTTATCATTTCAAAGTCCAATGGAGCTTTCCACCAGTGATGACTATTCTTGGCCTTTTGTGAAGTGAGTTAGGCCCTAGCACAGCTTCTTGGACAGGGCATTTCGGTGTAAAGGTCATTTGTTAGCATTTCCTGCAGCATTAACTTACCTACACAGCTTCCCCATTACATAAACCACTACCCACTGGTGAGTAATATAAATACTTTCAAATGATCCATTTCATTAAAATGCTTAGCACTACTCAAAGTAGAAAGGGGTCATACTTAATAGGAACCTTGAGGAATTGCATACTCCTGGAAACTTTCTGTGAGGGTTAAATTGGTGTGGCTTCTAAGGAGGGGGTGTGGCAGATTGACTTGGTAGTATCTGTAAAAGTTAGATGCCTTTGTGTTAGTTCATTCTCCATGTTGTAGTCTCCATTAGAACACATCTATGAAACCAAAGAAAAGTGTATACAGATAGTCATGGAAGCTTTGTTTAAAGACCAATAAGTTCAAACTTCCTGAACATCCAACAATGGTTATTAATAAAGTCAGGCATGTGAATATGGTTTAACTAGCATCTAGCAGTTAAAACGTGAGGATATCAGCATGGCTGTGTTGCCCTAAGACATCTGATGAAGGGGAAAGAAAGCAAGATGTAGAATAACTCTTATAGGAAGAGATTATTAAAACTGTAAAACAAGATCATGTGTTTTTAAAGGCAAACAGATGGTTCATAAACGGAAATGCAGAGGGAAAGGCTCAGAACATACATTTTCAATAGAATAATATTGCCCCCCCCAGAGGGCCCAAATTGGATTTGGGGAGATGATAGATCCCTCCTAAGCTTAACCCTGCCCAGCATAATCTGTAGTATTTAATGCTTTTCATTAGGGAGAATTTAAATTTAATTAACGTTTTCTCCTTGAGTTTCATTATAGAAAAATAAATAAATAAAAGAGTCATGAAACACTGGTTTCTGGACGCATAGACATGGGGCCTCCACTCACACTGCTTGAGTTAAAATCCTGGCTCTGGCACTCAGTAGCTGAGCCTGATGGAATGTGTTCACCCTCTCAGCGCCTCCGTGTCCTTGATTACAAAATGAACAGAGCAATAATGAAGACAGCCCGCTGGGGTGGCTCAAAAGATGACATGTGATATTATACACTCAGCTTGAACAATGGCTGGCACATAGTGCCTGTGCATATTAGCATGCATTATTGTTACTTCCCAGCAAGCACTGGGGAAGCCTGGAGGTGCAAGAATAAATAAGATAAATAAGGTGTTTGTCTTGCTACAGTTCAGAAACAGTGGGAGGAATACAGATAAGGAAACAGCAAATTAAAATGCTGTGTCACAAATGCAGGAAATAGGACTGTTCTAGGGGTCAACACTTCAACATCAGGTATGGCTTCTTGGAGGAAGACCATCAGATGAGGAGCTCATGAAGAAGAATAAGCTATTTTGACAAGGGAGAAGAAAGTGCAAGTACAAATGCCGAGAGAGAGAGAGAGAGAGAGAGAGAGAGAGAGAGAGAGAGAATGCAGAAAGAACAGCATTAGGATTCAGTGCAGAATGAATACAGTATGGAGGGACATGGGGCTGTCCCTAGAGCTCCTCTATCAGACCACGGGGCCTGAGTGCTGGATTTTCAAGAATTCTGAGAGGGGCTGGCCAGATGACTCAGAGGTTAAGAGGAACCACCCAGCACCCATGTTGGGTGGTTCACAACCACCTGAAACTCCAGCTCCAGGGAATCTGGCACCCTCTTCTGGCTTCCATGGGCACCTACACTTATGTGTGCATGCATGCATGTACACACACACACATACACACACACAAATAAATAGATAAATAAATAAATAAAATAAGTCTTTATAACCCCCTATTTCTGTGTGTGCTAATTGACTTCTTGATGTTTGAAATCAGCTGCAGTAGAGTATTTACACTGCAGAAATGGGCAGATGTTAAGTATCAGCATGGATGAGTGAGGTTCTAAAGTCAGGGATTTTTCAGGACTTTGCAAGCCACATCAAAGAATTGAACGCTGATCTTCAAGAAGCCTGTGGTGGAATGCTTGTTCCTACTTACACACACACACGCACACACACACACACACACACACACACACACAGAGTCTGTATAGTTTAGTGGTTGTTATCCAGGCTTTAAAGTCTTAGAACTACACTCAAGACTTGACTTGGCAATTCTATGGGGCAAATTCTATAGTGATGCCAACCACAGTAATTGAATTTCATTATTCACACTTTATGTGGGGATAGTGACAACCTCTGATGTTTGGGGGACTCAGCCATTTGGGAGGGGTCGGCCATAAGCTGGAATGATTAGGTCACAAGCCCAGATGGCTTATTCTTCGGGAGAGAAGACCATTAGATCACCTGGTTGCAGGATCCTCTGGTCATGATGAGCCTCCTGTGTGGTTTGTAAAGTCAGATTTTAGTCTGAGACAGGCTTGCTTTGCTTCTGAGCCTGAACTGAGGTCTTCTCACCTATTAACCATTTTCTCCAGGTTCAGAGAAGGTTAGAGTGATGTAAATGCAGTATCTCTTTGAGCAATGCATAATGAGCAGTTTGCACAGTGGAGTCACTGTAACCTGACATTATCTAGCATAGCATGTGAACTTACATTCTTTTAAAAAGTGAATTGAGGGATCTCTATAAAGAT